CGTGGTAGACATTCCAGCACACTTCAATATACCAAATGGCGAGATGGGTGAATTGGCCCGCTAGTCCAATTAATTTTTGAATATTATATTTATTTTATTTTATAATCTATGGTGAATGTATGAGAAAATTATGTGTTGTGATGTAGTCTAATTATTGAAAGAGTAATAGTATTGGTGTTGTGATTCTTTAAGATTTTTATAATTTTATTTGTTGAAAGACTAATAGTTGTCTTGATCAAAAGAGAAAGACTTAATAATTTATAATTTAATATTTGTATTGTAGTCTTAAAGTTAAAAGATCAATTTATGTTGAGTTATTTAATTAAATTTTTTAATTACCGTAAGAAAAAGTTATCAATTTTAAACTAATGATTAAATAAGAAAATATATATTATTTTAGTTTTGATAACTAACATGCTAAGATGTCTCCGAATAAGGCAGACTAAAATTTTTAACTCATAAATAAGCAAGTCAGTTTGTCCCGGTTCATTTTTGGTAGATTGTGATAGATCGGGTCAAAATGTGCCAAGTTGGCTCATTTTGTCATCGTGGCTTAATGGTTTTTACATGAACAACAAATATTAATACACTTTTTGAATATGATTACATTAAAGTAGTGCTACATAGTTGAAATATCTTTTTTTACTTTCTTTTAATATTATTTAGGGTTGTTATGCTCATAGTTTTAAAAATCGAACCGGTCATAAAAATTGGTTAGAACATTAGATCAGTGGGTCAAAGATTGAACCGATAGATTACTAATTGAATCACATGACTCGATTTTTATTAATTTTTTTAAAAAAAAATATTCATGTTGTGTATATTTTATACTTATAAATTTCAATAAATTCATATGATATCATAAATTTCAATTTCTATCTTATTTAAATTATTTTTATTTTTATTTTATATAAAGAAATATATGAAAAAGTTGCATGTTAAATTATATATTAATACAAATTAAAATATAAATAATATGTATATATAATATATACTTGTAACTGATATTACAAAACAATATATATAATATATGCATATATATTATATTATTAAATATATAATTTAAAATTAATAATATATTGTTAAAGTTATTTAAGTTGCATATATTATAAATAAGTGCATTGAAACAAGTGATCATTACTATGACTGATAAGGATCTTTTTTTACTCTCATGAGGAGGGTTTGATTCTTATATTGTGCTTTCCTTTGAATTTCTTTTTAAAAGTAGCATAAAACATCTTTATGGTTGAATTGATCTAACCCTCCAGTTCACTAGTTGAACAAAAAAATTGATCGATTCACTTTGATTTATAACGAGTCGAATGCATAAACAATCTAACTCCAAACTAGAACCGACTGGACTACCGGTTCCTAATTCAATTGGTCCAAGCCGATTTTTAAACATTGGTTATGCTTACCTACTCGCGGCGAAAGCCATCATCTCCCAATAAATTATTTTTTATAGGCTAAAATCCTAATTTGGTCCCTTATAATATTAAAAAAATTTCTATTTTGTCCCACTTTAAATTTTGGTTTCAATTTAATCCCAATTTATTTTAAAATACTTTAATGTGGGACTTCCGTCCAAATTTCACAAAACGGTGTTAAAGGTTCGTGAGAATCACACCCGTGATCCCAAATCACGACCCGTGATTCCAAATCACGACCATGATTCTCACGATCTAGGAATTACTTGAGATTAAGAGGTTCAGAAAGAGGTGGTGCTCCACCTGAAACTACAAGCCACCGCGGAACTAATCCATCCAGGAAGAGAAGCTAAAATCGAGAGTGCCATTAGTTTGTATATGAAACCAATTGGAGCCATTAGGGGGGCCAAGGTAGACCTTGGAGGAGAAATGGTTCAAGTAGAATTGGATGTGCTAAATTTTGGTAACAAAGAAGCTAACAAGACCGAAGAAAGCCCTCTCCCACCAATTTGACACGAAGGAGATTAAGAGAGGGTACCAAATCCAGAACAAGAGTAGGCCAAGAAGCTCTACTCCTCTATGGTCGACCTTACGGTTGGAGAGCAAGAGGAAGAAGGATTGGGCGAAGGGGTTAAGCCTAGCGAAGCACGTGACAGGGTAAAAGGTGAAATGTTGGTAACTAACAAGAACCCTAGCGAGGGAATCGAAGTTGAGTTTTCGGTCGCAGAAGCGAGAAGTGAGAAAAGTGAAGAAGGAAGAGGAAACGACGAAGAAGGGAAGGTGCTGAAGGTCGGGCATGACGTTGTAGTGGCCGGAGTCGTGGCCAATCCAGCCTCTCTGGATCCAGGCGAAGCCAATAAGGGCTGTGGAGTGGAGGTGGATGGAGGCGCACTCGAAGAGGAGGACACCGGTGACAACGAGGGAGAGGAGGGGGAGGATGAGGGAGAGGAGGGCAAGCGTGGTGTGGCCTTTGCGGTCGAAGAGGCTGGTGTGGGAGAGGTCGGAGAATACATTCTTGCGGGCCTTTACAAATATATTTTGATTGGTCCCCAGGGCGTGAGAATCACGGCTGTGATTTGGAATCACATGCGTGATTCTCATAGACCTTAAACACCGTTTGTGAAATTTAAACGAAAATCCCACATTGAAGTATTTTAAAATAAATTGAGACTAAATTGAAACAAAAAATTAAAGTGGGACCAAATTAAATTTTTTTAATATTATAAAGGATCAAATTAAAATTTTAACTTTTTTTTATTCTAATTAGCCTTCTAATTAATATTCAATATACTGCTAGCCTTAGGTCCAGAATGTTATTATAAGAAGCATCTTCGGCTAGTGTTGAACTAACAAGTTTACTCTTACACCTTCCCCAATTCCCATACTACATGCCTATTGCCTAGTTCTATTTTCACTCACCAGCCCACAAAATAATGGTGAAGTGTCTTTCATCTTCAGTTCTATTCGATCTCCTCAAGGTTTAATTTTTTTTTTCAAACACCTTTTTCTTTTTACAATTTTTTATCATTCTTTTTCCGGTCACACAATTACATTTCATTTTATTTACGTTTCCAATATTTTCAAAATTTATATCATTAAAAACTTGTCGGGCATAAATAAAAGTTGGAGTTAAGAAATGAGAAGTTAAATAAAGAAAATCAATCACATAACAAGAATTGGTTTCGTATGATGATCATACACTTAGGAGAGCACCTGCATGTACAAATAGCTCCTAATTCCTATGCTACGTACGTATGATGAGTCTTCGTCTAACCTAGAAGTGGTTATTAAACTTGTTTGATTTGGATGAACGATTTGTAGGCGAGAGGAAGCACGAAATTTTGGATCCAAATTGCTATTCGTAGTACACTCCTATTTACAGTGTAGACCAGACAATTTTGTTCAAGAAAACACATAAATAATGACATTGATGTAGTAATATCTTTATGCATAGCTCTCGTTCTCTTGTTATGCAGAAAGAAAACGAAAACAGAAGAAAATTAAAGAATTAATCACCTATACATTATCAGTGTAAAGTTTTTTTACACTGACAACTAATTATATCTTTTAATTGTATCATGTCACTATAAACACATTTACTTTTAATAGTGACATGACACAATTAAAAGATATAATTAATTGTTTATACTAACAATGTATAAGTAATTAACTCAAAATTAAATGTATCAAAAGAAAATGTATGGTGTTAAATAATATTTTTAAATATTTTTAACATAATAAAAGATAAATAAATAAATCAATTTATCATTTCAACTGATTTTATTTTTCATTTTCTCTTTAAGGGTGGGAAAAAAAACTTTGTAAACCCCACTCATTGTCCTTTTTTCACCCAAATGGTGAAACACATTTTTCATCCTTTTTCTCTCCACTTATTTTATGTACAAATTAAATAGTATTGATAAACATACTCTTTATAAATCAGGTTTCTAATGTATCATTTTTTTAATAAAAAAAGTAATAAAACAATAAATTTCTGAAAAATTAGGAGAAAAAACAGTCCAAGGAAAAAGTAAGTGTTTTCTTTTTTTGCAACACTATTCATACGCATTTTACATTGCCAGACTTCTAGGCATGCATGCTAATTAGTTAAAGCCAAAACTCAAATGTCTCGCTTTTCTGGTCAGGAATAATTATATGATTGTTGACTGTGAAGGACGTTCATATTACAATCTACACTGCAGTTCAGAAATATAACGCAACACAACTAACTAACAATAAATGGGCCAAAATCCAGATTTTGGGGAGTCGGGAAAATCCATATGATTTGCATTCCTTCAATTCAAAGGTGGTGGTATAGCAGGGTTACTGGGGAGGTGGTGGTGGCGGCATTGAGGACTGCAGGTACATAGGCCGTCCACCTTGTTGCTGAGGTGGTGGTGGTCGCCAAACAGGTGGTGGCTGACTTGCCATTACTGCCGGTGGTGGAAGAGGCCTTGGAGGAGCTTGTGGAGGTGGTGGCATCTGCTGCATACCCGGGTGAGGTGGCCTGAACTGCTGGACTTGAGGTGGAGGTGGCATTACGGGTTGTAACATTGTTTGACCTGGCTGTTGCTGATGCCATGTTGGTTGTCCAGCCACCGGCATAGGCTGGAATGCTGCAGCTTGAGGGGGTGGTGGACGAAGGGCAGGAGCAACCCCATTGGCAAAGGGTCGGGGGGGCACTGGAGCAACCCCATTAGCCTGAGGAACATTGGGAAGTGTTGGAGGTCCACTGGCAAATAGAGTATGAGGCCTGCTCTTCTGTGCACTTGGATTACTTGCAGCCAAAACTCTTTCTGCTCCATTGAAGAAACATTAGCAGAACGAACAATATGCGTGAATTAATCCAAAAAATAGATAGTAGCAAGAAAGAGCCTCACCTGCGGGGGTACCATGCCGTTCACCCTTGGTGTCTTTCTTATAAGCATACGACACTGTAATTTGACGATTGCAAAGATATTGTCCATTCATTGCCTACAAAATATAGAAAAAATGAATATCAGTGACGTGGGAATGCTTATTACTTTCTATATTCTACTTTAATGAATGATTTGAATACCCAGACAACAAATTGAAACACAACACTTTTAGTACTTTTTGATACATGCGTTGATATAAAATCAAAAGGGATCATATGCACTTTATCCCCCTGATTTATAGGTTTGATGAAATTTTATGTTACTCCCCAATTTAACATTAATTATGTTAATTTCACCCATTATATCTAACTTAACCTTTGTTAATAGAACAAAATAAACATGTTTCCCACCAGTCTTTATTTTTCATTACAGAATTTGATAATCAATACCACTGGTCATATTAGGCACAAAAAATGTCATATTGGCTTGGCTAAATGGGATACAGATAAGGGTTCATGATTCTGGTCACAGCAACCCTTTTCTCACCCTTCATCATTAAGGCCCATTTCTTTGCCTAATGTTGGGTAGTATTTAGACTTTGTAGAGAATCAATTTAAGTGGTTGGGGCCCAGTCCGTTAGGACTTCCTATAAACATGTTTGTTCTTGACAAGATCGTGGGGAGAACATGCTACAAAAAGCTAGTTTTAGTTGGAGAGCCCAAGGCCCTAAAAAACTCACACTAGAATCTCATACTTCCAATGTGAGACTCAAGTCTCATTCCTTGAAATTGGATCCTAACATCCCACCACAGCCCCTACGCACACACAGGCTGGCTGTGCACTAGCCCTTCCACCAATCTCGGACAAACATTGCAATGCAATGTCATTGCCAGCATCACCACCTATGGTGCTTGTTCGCAGCTGAGAGCATGAAGGAAGGCTCTAATACCAATAGAAAGCATGGGGTTCTAGGGTGAGATTTATAAGGTTTTGGGCTCTCTAAATACAACAATCAGCTTTTGTGGTATGGTTCTTTCAAGGTTCTTATCAATTGGTTTCCTAGAATATCCTCCCATGTTTTTTATGTTACATTTATAATACAGGATCTTATATCCCCAAATGAATTTATGAATTCTTTTTAGTTTCCTAGAGTATCCTCTCATGTGGTAAAAGAAAGACTAATTTCTTCAGGTACAATCAAACACTAGAGCAGGAAACTGTTAGGAACCCAAATTAGAAAAATACAAGAAAAGAGATTTATTTCTTGATTGCAACAAAAGAAAGAATAGGAGAGGTAACTCTCCTCCAATGGTTTCTTCTTCACAAAGGATTTCTCCTTTCACAAAGAGAAAATGCTCAATTTACAAATGAACAAAATGTCAATGAATTCCCTCCCCTTCAATCCTCCTATTTATTTTTGTCACTAACTATAACAAACTAATATTCTAACTAACTCCCCCTTTCCCAAAGTCCTAACAGAAACCCTCTTCCATACATATGAATCTCTAGATCAAATCCAAAACCACATACTGAAGGAATTTGCGTCCCTTCCACTTAGACAAACATGTTGGTCAATGAGTTTACGATTTGGTAAAAGATTGTCAACCATTTATCCTTATATATATATATTGTTCATCATATTTTGGTGAGTTAGTATCAAATTATGATCCATGTGTGCTGAATAAGTGTAACAAAAGAATGCGAGGCTGGCCTCACACCATATTCCTACAAATAATTCAAACACAAGACTGAGGCATACCTCAATGGCAGAATCAGACGCCTCAAATGAATCATAGCTAATGAAGCCAAAACCTCGGGAATTCCCTGTATCAGGATCTCTCATGATCTGCAACAAAAAACCTTGAACATCAGATCAAATCATATACATAATTTTGAGTAAAATGAATTCCCCCCAAGTAGGGAAGGTTGAGACAGAAGGAGTATAATTTTCTTCACAGTATATGCTTTGCAATACGAGAATAAAAGCATAGCCATTTACAAAAATACACATAGCCACAAAACATCGGTCAGTAATCACATAAAGAGTTGATGAAGATGTTAACTCCAGGAGATTTTAGGACAGTAATCACAAAATAAAATTGCCAATGGACTCGGCCAGAATTAATTATCTAATCCATCAAATAAAATTCTTATCTAACATTCATTGCATTGATCCATCCCATGAATAGTTGTCAAATTGGAATTTTGTATTGTGAATTAGGTCTTTTTCCAGATAGTGAACTGTAAGATTCATTATCAATAATTAAAAATGTCATCAGAAGTACTCTAACATACAATAACATTAGAATCATATATACATTGGTTTTTTGAAGTCAAATAGCTCACTAAATATTGGTTATTTTAATTGGCGTTGGCTTGATACTAAACATTTTTAAACAAACAACATGGTAAATGAGAATAATGACAAATAAGAAAACAGCAAAGCATGAGAAGTATCAGCAACTGCTACTAGCAAGATACTGTGACTTAAGTAACATTAATATGATGAAATTAGACATAATGAAAGATATTTGAAGAGCAAAACCTTCGGATTAGTAACAATAACTCCAAAAGCACTGAAAGTATCATACAAGAGCTTCTCATCTACATCCTGCAGCAACATTAGGAGCACCCATGTTTAAGTCTTGAGTTCAACACATAACTGCATGAGTCTGTTTAAAATTTGCATAATTTGGTGACTTACAGGATCAAGATTGCCAATAAAAAGGTTTGCCCCAACATCCAAGCTCTTTTTATCTTGGGATGCCTAAAACCAAAACATTATAAAATCAATCATGGGCATTGATACAAGATAGAAACATAGCACTGCTTGAACAGAGTACAACAAAGTTTGTAAAAACAAAATACAAATATTAAAGATTAATCACTATGAAAAAAAATAAAATAAGAGATTCAATTATATGAATGATATCTAGGAATAGCATACAATAAGGATTGGGAAAATATAAGTAAAATATTACTAAGTAATTAATTAGCACACATATTGCATCACTTCTGTGCAGGGTTTTAAAATGCCACTGCAACATAAAGGATTTTAGATTCACTACCACAATTGCGGCACATTTTCCCACAATTCCACACTGCAACCACAACTACAATTTAAAATCATGCTTCTGTGGAACAAGTATGTTTAGTTAAAGAAAAAAGTCAGACAAAGATTATCCTACAGTAAGACTCTAAGCCTCAAGTCCTGAAAGACAAGAGAACTAACATTCTCCAAAGGTAGTGGTCATAGAGATTCATGGCGATCATAAATCAAGTTAATGAGCGCTTTGTTTCATTATTTATCTTCATCAATACTCTCAATCACACACGCCAAGCCTATTAGAACGGAATTAAACATAACTTCCATTCAGAAGGGAACCCAAACACAGGAGAGTTGCTATAACTTATAAGCATTCATACTCTAACGATTCCATACTTAAACACCACATACACACAGTAGGATACCTTGTTGACACGGATCGGTTTCCCATAAAGCTTAATCATGTTAAGCACCTTGATGGCCTGCATAGAAGAAAAAGAAAAGCAAGATCAGCGAGAGGATGTTGGGTTCAGAAAAGCGAGTTTCAAATACTTACATAGTCAGCATCTTCTTCACTCCGGAATTCAACAAATCCATAACCCTGATGTTGGTTGGTGACTCTATCTTTTGGAACATAGACATTAACTGAGACAAATTTAAGGAGAGTGAGTTTATTTAAAGTTAAAGCTAAGAAAATGAATGAATGAGAATAACATACCAACTGGACCCGCTTGAACAAACAACTCCCACAATAACTCCTCACTTATCTGCAGCGCAAAGAAAAGGGGTTAACCCTAGAAGTGTGCGAATGATGGAGAATGGGAAGTTTACCTGAGGGTCGAGATTGCCGACATAAGCAGTGGCGTCTTGATTCCTCTCGGCGGCGTGTTGACCGAGCAAATTGGCTCCAACACCAGGCGCAATTCGAGTCGTCATGGAGCAACCCTTGTTATGTTAAGCTTCTATTCTATCATGAATGGATACAAAACAATTACAATTGCAATACATGAGTGTCAAATCGTCGAATAGGTTATGCGCAACACTTACACTTGCGAAAAAGAACAAGAAGCTGAACCAAAACCCACAGCGACAAGAGTGAAACCAATTAGTGGAGCTGAACATTAGCACACTCTTCATATAAATTCCAACAGAGCGGAACAACGTAACAACTTTGAATTTATTAAAATTTTAAATGAAAATTTGATGTTATTATTATATTTTAATTTTAAATGTAGGATAACGTAACAACTAACTTAATATAAATTTAAATGATTATATATAAGTTATAATAAATACATCAAATTAATATAAAATAATAAATACAAAAAATTATGCGTAAAATTACTTAAATCACAAATCAAATTATATAAATTGATTTGATTTTCTGATATCAGAAATCATGTATAATACAAATTTGATTATTTAATTAATCATGTATAATACGCTTATTTGATTGTATTTTAACTGTATCTTTAAAATTAGATTTCTTTATAACCAAGTTAATTTTGATAGTATTGTATGAAAAAATTATATTTCAACATATATTAATCTAATTATATGTGTAGGTATCATATGTTGAAGCAGATGAAAATAAAATTAAAGTTTTTAATGATTATTTAATTTATAACATTGATTTAGACAATGATATCATAATGAAAATGAAACAATTGTATTAAAATACATATTAAGTAAATGCTATTTAAAGTTTTAATAATTAATAGAAATGTTTTTATAATTTTTAACAATTAACCGTTATATATTTATAATTGATTTGCGATTAAGAGACCCTATTTAATTAATACGTTGATTATTAAAAAATTTAATCAATAAAAATTATGTTTAAAAATAATAAATATTATACTTAATTTACTAAATAAAAAATAATCAATTATTTAAGATATATAAAACTTGATTTACTTTCATATTAATTTTGATACTAATATGAGAGTTCAATAGTTAATTATCATTGTCAAATCAATGAAAAATGATATCAATAATTTGAGGTTTAAATTAAATGAGAGTTTGGAGATATTTTGATGTTATACAATTTTATTTTAATAATTAATTTGTAATTAAAAGACTCAATTTACACAAATATATAAAAAGAAAATTATTTACTTTACTCAATAAAAATTGCAAGAAAACTATTTTATTTTAATGAAAATTTAAATATAAAACTTGATGTACTTTCATATTGATTTTGATTTTGGTACTAATACGAGAGTCCAATAGTTAATTATCATTGTCAAATCAAAGAAAAATTATATCAATAATTTGAGATTCAAATTAAAGGAGAGTTTGGAGGTATTTTGATTTTATACAACTTTATTTTAATAATTAATTTGTAATTAAAAGAATCAATTTACACAATTGTAAAAAAAAAACTATTTGCTTTACTCAATAAAAATTGCAAGAAAATTATTTTATTTTAATGAAAATATAAATAAATTATCAAAGCACATGAAATATAATAAGTGAGTATAAATAATGCAAAATGAGCATAAACAATGCATAAAATTCTTAAATTATAAATTAAATTATATCACAAAATTTGTCTCTTTAAAAATTATGATTTTTTTCTACTTTTTAAGTATTTTATCATATGTGAAAAAGCATAAATAAGATAGAAATTCCTTTTAATTTTAAATGATAGTTTAGTGTTATTAGTGTATTTTATTCAATAAAAGTCACTAGATATTACAAATCATTTTTGTTCTTATGCAAATATCACAACTTAATAAAATAAAATCCCTTATCCTATGCTCTGATTTTTGCATTTGACCTTCTAACTGCACATCCAATTTTTCTGCATTATGAGATCTCAAATATCTAGGTTTAAAAATATTTATGGGGTTAGACATTTAATTTCATTCATATCTCACAGAAACAAATCATACAAGTGCATAATAAGTTCATACAATTATCAATACACACAACAAATTGATAAGATTTTTCATTAATAATAGTCCAAATAATGCAATATACTTATGAGATACAGATTTTGACTAAAAATATACTTTTGAAAATCATTTTGACTTAATACTCCATGGAGATTTTCCCTTTTGAGTGTTTAGTGAAGTTAGAGCTTAACATCACTTTGTCCAATGATTCGACAATGTCCCACTAAACATGAACAAGTAGACAGTATTCAGAGGGCTAGTGCACCCAGCAGGCTACCACAGCACAAAATCAAATAAAGACGGGTTGTAACACCATGGAAATATCGAGCTATTTGGTAGATATATTTTATATATATGTGTGTGTGTGTATGTGTGTGTGCGTGTGTGGGTATGTATGTATGTATATGTTGTTTATATGGATTTGGATTAGATTGTGAATATGTGAATTTGAAATGTACTTACCTCTGTGCATGTTGTATATTTATGTGATTTTGATTTGTTGTTTGGACATAGAAGTGATTTTATAGCATGAAACGAGATATCATTGTTTTAAGGTGTTTAAGTAGGCATGTGTATGCATGAGTGTGGTGAATCATGCATTGTACACCATTATATTGAACTGGTACTAAGAGGGAGGAAGACTGATCACCTTCCTTCTCATCTTAGTTATGTGAAGTATTATGGCATGCAACTCATTATTCCAAGCATATGTATCTGAAGGTAATGTTTGTTTGTATGTTAACACATGTTGCATTTCATATGGTGGTGAGTTGTGAGTATTGCATAGAAAGGAATAGGAATGGTAGGAGATTGAAGGATTGGAACATAAGATAAATCTAATCTTTCTGAGTGAATTTGAAGTTGTTTTAGAGCTTAGGGAGTTGAAATACTTCAAGGAGTAGGATATTTGAGGTGAATAGGTGCTAAGGGTGAAATTTGGAAATTTTTGGAAAATGGCTATATATAGGGACTTAGGACCAGAGGATTTCATTTGTCAAACAGAAACAATTTCTAGAGAGAGAAAGTATAGAGAAGCTCTGGTCCAGAGGGAAGCTAAGGATACATTTGAGAAGTTTATCAAGCCAAGATCAATCTTCACAACTGGAATTTCAAGAGATTTAGCCTTTAAAAGCTTGAAAAGTGAGATTGAAGTTTGAGTTGGGATTTGAGGATCTAGTTCAAATCTTGCATTTTTGAGGTTTCTAAAGTAAGGGTAGTACTTATAAGACTTAATCTAGTATGTATGGATTTGAAATATCACATTGATTCCATGTTTTATGCATGATTAAGGTTGGATTGAGTGTAAAGGTTTTGGTTGGGTTTCTTCATGATTTTCATGGATTAATGGTTAATACTTGATTTTATCACTTAATATGTTGTTTTTGGATGGTGTATATACTCTATAATGGTTCGGAATCATGTAATTTGGTTTGGGATTAATGTTGGGATGGATTTGAGGATGAAAATCGGAGTTTTCGAACTTCCGACGTGCCTCCTGATGCATGCGCGCTAAGTGCACGCGACGACGCGCTGAGCGCACTAAAGAATAGAGTTTTCTATCTAGAGCGTGCTGAGCGCATTTAACCATGGACTGAGTGCATTTCAAAATGGGTTGAGTGCACGGGTCTATGCACTAAGCGGGCAACTTCCAGTGGCTCTCTATCAGAAGCGCGCTGAGTGCACTGGACTACGCGTTGAGCGCCTATAGCCATGGGCTAAGCGCATGTGGTCACGCGCTGAGCGGGCAAAGCCTAATAGGCTCCTAGTTTTGGCTACACTGAGCACAAATACCACTACACTGGGCGCGTGGTTTCTTTGAGAAAAACATTTTATAATTGAGTTGTTATGAAACTTTCAAATTTTGAATCATACCATCTTTTGATGTTATTTATTTGGTATGGAATGTGGCATGGTTATGGAAAAGATTGTATGTAATTATGGAGCATGTTTATGTGTGTTTGGTTTGGAAAGCTAATAGGACTTAGGGGAGTAAGGTTATGGTATGGATTGTGAGATCTCTTGGTGAGATCAAGATATAGTCTTTGGAAAAATATGGAATTCGGGAGTCCCATGGTGAGGATTTCAATATGAAACTTTTCCAAAGATTATATAATAAACCACTTCAGATGTTAGGTAGATTCTCAAGTACTCCTCTAAGCATTTTATTTGCTACCGTTATGGGGGCAAGGTCGAGTCATATCGATGGATGAAGTGGCCAGGATCACCAGGGTTACGTGACGACATAATCCAACTCTATATTTTCCATGAGAGGTTAGGTGTGTGACATGGGCAAGTGACATGTTCTCTGATGGTGGAGTTCATGAAGAAGTGGATGATTTGCTTCTCCTTTCCTTCACCACGTGTAGGATCAACTTCTTGAAGATTTGCACCGATTGAAGGAAGCTCAAGATGATGTAGATGACGGATTAAGGTTCCTAGGCTAGAGATGGAAGCACCCTAGCATAAGACTCAAATGAAAGCTCACTTCAAAAGTAGGAAAGGAAGATAAGGTTCCCTAGTTCTAATGAAGGCTTTCGGTGACCTTTAAGGAAGAATTTGCTGAAGAAAATTCATAGAATTCTTATATCATTTCAAAAGTGTCAATACAAGTCTTAAGGCATGCATTTATAGGTGCGGATGAACCTAAAGTGGCGCCAATCCAAGAGAAGTCAATTGGCGCCAAGTTTGAATTTCAAAATTGAATTTGAAATTCAAACTTTGGCCAGCCGTGACTAATCCGGATTCCACTCTCATCTTAATGTAATTTGGAAGCCATTTGGATTTGAATTTAGGGTTCACATGGCCGGTCCTCACCATGCCAATCCATGTGACTCAAATTCAAATCAAATGTCTTCTAAATGACATACAAATGAAACCTAATGCACCTATTAATGAATCCTTTGTATAATCCTATTCTAATGACCTAAATACATTGGTCAATCAAATACAATGGAAATGAAAAATTACAAGAATGAAAATGAGCCCAATATTGGGTATCAAAAGCCCAAAGGCCCATGAAGCCCAAAACTAGGCCCACTAAGACTAAAGCCCAAAATGCTAATCTAGGGCCCATAATACAAGACCAAAACAATGTAAATTCCTACATTACTAATATGCAATAAAGTGGTGGTCAATCAAGTAAAGTCCAAGTGAAAAGCACCCTAGGCCCACCAAGCCCATTAGGCCCACTAAGCTCTAAAGCAATCAAATCTTCAAGTAGTCTTCTAGCCATTGCTCTAGTGGTTGGACCCTTGGTCCATGCT